AGATGGGGGCAGAGCTCAGTGCAACAGCCATCAGCCATCTTGAAGAGGTATCAGATGAGGGTATCGCTGCCATGGCAACATCAAACACAGTAGCTGTGGTTCTCCCAACAACGGCATACATCCTCCGCCTGAGGGCGCCACCTGTTAGGAAGATGATTGATGGCGGAGTGCCAGTGGCACTGGGGACTGACTTTAATCCTAATGCATTTTGTTTATCAATGGTGAGTGGAAATTGATTGAAATACCTGTAGCTGGAAACGAGGCTGTTGACACTGGGTCACATGTCATACGAGATACGGGATTGTGCTAGAATTCATGAGAAGTGGGACTTACCTTTCAGCATTAGGGATAAAATCTCTGCTTGGGGGGTTGTCCTCTTAGAAAGCAATACAAAAGTAACAGTTTTGCCTTGAAAGGGGGGTGGTGGAGAAGAAAGGAATCTAATTATGTAACAATTGCCATCTCAGTGACTTTAAAGAACATACAACTATTAATAGAGTAACCAGAAATAACTTCAGTCATTTTTTTTTTATTTTAGTAAGTTGTCATGCTTTCATAACTGTATTAAAATATATTGTATATAAAACTATCTTTTCTCTCAGCCCTTGGTGATGCATCTCGCCTGCGTAAACTTCCGCATGACGATGAACGAGGCCCTGTGTGCTGCCACTCTGAATGCTGCAGCGTCAGTGGGGAAATCCAACAGCCATGGCTCAATAGAAGTGGGGAAAGTTGGGGATATGCTGGTGATTAATGCTCCTAGGTGAGATAGGATGATTGTAGATTATCAATGAACACCTGTCAAAGTACTTTGCACTTAATATTTTTTCATTTGTTTTTTTTTTTTATTATTATTTGCCTGTTCCTCCTGTGCCTGCATGTAAGTGACTTATACTCATTGATTCACTCTATAATAACTTTCTCGTTATTTCTCATGTGTTAAATGTTAATTTCTAGATGGGAGCACCTCATCTACCAGCTAGGAGGACAAGATCACGTGATCAAGCACGTCATCAGGCGGGGAGACGTAGTTCACTCCAACTAGAAAATATCAACAAATGCCCATGGGCATGGATGGGTGGGGGTGGGGGGTTTGAAGAAACTGGCCTTTTGACTGGAAAAGGTCTGCTATGAATCATAGTTTGACCTAGGTTCCTTGCCGATTATCAAGTTAGGTCTACTAAGGGGGTAGAAGGGAACCCCTTTTTTGAAACTGTTGTCTGCCTGCCTGCAGAGTGATGTGTGCTTCAGACTAGACTATCACAGTGGACAGACACGTTAATGTGTACAGTGCCAAAGTTAGGCTCTATTCCCATAGATTTTAGATCGATCTATCCCTCGGGGAGTCCCACTAGATTACTGTCAGATAATCCGGCTTAAATGTTCGTCCCGCCTACTACAAGCTGTAAGGGGGTAATTAACTTTCGTGTCCGCCCGGCTGACAGCTATTTAGCGTGAACCCCCAGGGAGTTAGGTCGATCTAAAGTAGGTCGATCTAATCTATGGAAATGGGGTGTTAGAGATGAGACGTAGAATAGAACGATGTTGCTTCCATGGTCATTGCTTGCCACCTTATTTACCAGTATTTTAATATTTTAATATCAGCAAACTGCTTCACTAAATATGTGGTTGCAAATGTGCCAGTAACAGGTACCCTGTATGAGGGCCACCGTTTTTTTTTTTTTTTACTAGATATTTACAGATATGTCTCTAGTTAAATTATAGACCTTTCTGCACTGTGAAGGGAATAGGGAGCTTAGTGGAGATCCTCTTTATGTTGAGTGATGTTTGATAACTTCTTATGAAAGAAGGAAATGTGTGTGAAGAGCAGTTTGTATTATTTATATTGAAATGTAAAAGACACACCTAAAACTTTTTGATATAGAATTATATTCAATACATCTTTATTTGCCCCCAAATGGTGATAGACAGGGGCGGATTTAGGCCGTCTTCTGGGTCTTCCGGAAGACGGTCAGATTTTCAAGTTTACATTGACGGGTATC